GGGGGTGAGCGTTCATTACACCAGTTACAATAGTGGAAGATCCTAGTCTGTAGTCAGAAATAAGAAAGATGTAGCAACAATGGATGTAGAAGAAGACTACAGTCCGTGTAGTGGGCATCTGAGGCCCAAGTCCAGAAGCCCTGACCCCAAGTCCATATCAGGTTCTTACACCCCCTGTCCCTGAACACAGGCTACAGGTCTGTGGGGTAATAGAACAAGGGGGTGCAGGATGGGCAGAAGGAAGAGGAAAACACAAGTAAAAGGAACACACCACATAACATCCACAGCACCCAACTGAATTCACATGGTGTACAGTATCTGCTCTGGCCTGGTGCCCCTCAGCCTTCTGCCCACAGTGAACATGATGATCTAACACAATGAGTATGGTGTCAATAAAGGACTGAGTGGGAAGGAGTGGAGGGTGACACTGCCATTAGGAAGTTCTTGTGCAGCCAGTGCTTGTAGGAAGCAACTGAATGCCTCTGCCAACCCAGGCAAAGAGAGCGACGTGACACAAGTGATGCAGCACATACCTAGACTCATTCTGAGGAGAGGGAATGCCCTTGTAGGTGCTGATAATCCTGACCAGATAAGCCCAAAATGGTCTGAATCCATCCAGGAGTGGGGGAGATAGGAGATAGTGAGTTGGATGGGGATGAGGAGGATGGGGTCGCAGTGGGAGCAACTGTGAGGTGAGATGTGGTTCAATTGAGATGAATGATGGCTCGTTGGAAAGCCCTTATTGAGGAGAATTGAATGGGCCCTGAACCATACCGAACAAAGACAAACTCACAGCGCTGTGGCTGCAGCAAGTACTGAGAGTGATCAGGAAGATGTAGGGGCAATAGAAGCAGAACGGCTGCACGAATCGTGGCCCAAGTGGGCTTGTTGGAAAGGGATTGAAGAGGGCTTTCCAACGCACTCAAAACGAGAGGGGGCGTCAAAGAACTCCCAGAGATAGTGCTGCCACATCACCAGCATCCCCTCCTCTATCCCGGGAAAACCCCCCACAACTCCACCAGTTCTCCTCCAAATCAAATGAGAGAGCTACCATTGGGTAGGGCTCAGAGATCAGAATCCAACGAGGTCCACATTACCATGAGGGAGTGAGAGGTGAGGGAACAACAGCCAGAGCAATGCTGCCCCAACTGGGTTGCTGGACTAAGTGGCTGCCTCCGGAGTGATTTGCTCACCATTCCCCCAGTTCTCAACCGAATTGCTTCAAAACAGTCGCGATTTGTGCGCACCATTAATCTGCAGACAGCGCACCTGGACGCGAGAGCATTGGGGAGGTTTGAGAGGGGATAAAATGCAAAATACGGGTTTCAAAGACACAAAAGTGGGAATAGGGCCTTGTTGAGGGCGCGCGCTGCCACGAAAACAGCACAGCCAGATAGAGGGAAGCAATAGCTTTCAAACAGTATATTATATGACCCACTTTGGTTAGGAGGAAGCGGAGATAATCGAGTAAGAGTGGATGGTGGCTGAGGTCAGGTGACCAAAAAAGCGCTGGTGGGCACGATAGCTCGGGTAAGCCTATCGTGCCCACCAGCGCTTTTTTGTGTCACATGACAAGGGCTGTGGCTCTGGTCGCATTTTTTCAAAACTGAACCACTCAGGGATTGAACCAGGGCCCTCAGCATCATAACCACAGGTTCTTACCACTGCACCACCAGGCTGTTACCACCTCTGTCTCCTTTATGCTCTATATCATATCTTGTAGCACTGATAAGATCTGCACAGCCACTTGAGCGCTTTTTTCCCTATCTGCCATTTCCGGATAGGGCAGGTGGTCCCAGCAGTGATTTGGTGGCTCAAGTTATTTACCTCATAGCTTTCTCAGTTCTTGTCCAAATGACTTCAAACAAATCGCGATTTGTGCGCATTTTAAGCGCCTAAATAACGCATCAAAGCGCGTGAGAATCGAGCAAATCTATGAGGTAATATGTGTGAAATACTGGCACCACTTGGAGGAATGCCCAACTCAGCAGTGGAGTGGTGGCCACTTTGTTTGGTCCATAGCCCACTCAGTTCTTCACCAAATAACTTCAAACGAATCGCCATTTTTGCACATTTTAAGCAGCCATGAACAGTCCAAAATGCGTCGGAATTGAGCAATTATAAGGGGTGCTAAAGTGCGAAATACTGTTGTGATTTGAAGGAACATCAACTCAACACTGGGGTGGTGGCCACCTTGTTTGCCCCATTCCCCACTCAGTTCTTCACCAAATGACCTCAAACAAATTGTGATTTGTGCGCATTTTCAGCATCAATAAGATGCATTCAAGAACGTGGGAATTAATGACCTTGAGGGCCAATAAATTGCAAAATACTGTCACCACTTCAATCTGGCAGTTGGCCCAGCAGTAATCTGTTGGACCATAGCTCATCCAGTTCTTGACCAAATGACTTCAAACAAATTGCAATGTGTGCATGTTTTCAATTCCAATGATATGCATTAAAGTGGGTGGGTATCAAACAAGCTTTAGAGGTCATAAATTGCGAAATACTGTCATTGTTTGAAGGAATGACAACAACTGTGCCCCTTTTGATGCACATGGAGACTGATAAGTAGCATCATCTTCAAGAGGTAGGTGAGGGCTTTCTGTGGGTATCCAACATGACATAGCTTGATGAAGATATGGGAGAGATAATTCAATAAAAGGGCAAAAAAAGTGCTGGCATCATATGACTTCTATCCTCATACTGATTGTAAGTGTGCTGTTGCTTGGACAAATTATCATGCATTATACACCATTGGATCCAGAATTGAATTGTTACAGTCCGTGCCAACCATGTCCGGAGTTGCGGAACTCCACCTGGACTTCCATCTGTCCTGTAACACCTAGACCGCTCCAGCCCCTTCCCTTACAGCTATGGGTCTCGGCTCTTTCAGTTCCCTCTAGTCCTTTCCGATTGTACTTACTCATACTCCGGTCGGACATCTGCTCAGACCGCGATCCACTCCAGAACTCCATCAGGTTCCGTGTGGATGTGTGGATGCACGTCACCACACGTCATTGTACGTCACTCCCGGTCAGATGCTCCACTCTGTGGAGTCCCGACTGGAAGTCCGACCTCTGGACTCCGACCCCTAACTCCTATCTATGATTAGATTATAAGCACCAAGCTAGCCAGCCTTATGCCTTGGTTCAGATATCTTGTTTACTTTCCTGCTTGTAACTCCTACTCTGAATCCACCTCCTTCTCCATCATCTGCGCTGGACTTCCTTCTGAACTGCAACATCCGACCTCCGTCTGACACTTGTCTCCCTTCGACTCTTCCTTCAACTCTTCATTCTGACTCTTCCCCATTCTGAAGTTTCACCAACCCCATCTAAAGTCTGAAGACCCGGCAGATTGCTCAGAGTGTTGCTAATAACTTCACCAAGCCTTCACCCTCTGGTGTGCCCAGACTCCTCACCTGTTCCTCTGGACTTCCTTGCTAGAGTTCTGCTTCTCCACTTTTCTGCTTCCCGGACTTCTTTGCACAATCCTAACACAGAGGTCAAAAATGCAACTTTTTTTATACATATTAAAGCATCAGTACATTCAAATATGAATATCCTGCTCCCTCATCAATCGTATCTGCCAGACATGGCCCACTCCCACCAAGTCTAATTGTAGATAGAAGTTAGGGGTCAGAGTCTGGAGGTTGGACTTTCAGTTGGTACTCTGTGGAGAGCTGCAGAGTGGAGTATCCGACTAGGAGTGACATACAGTGATGCGTGGTGATGCGCATCCACTCATCCGTGCAGAAGCTAGTAGAGCTCCAGAGTGGATTACGGTCTGAGTGGGAGTCTGGCCGGAGAATGAGTAAGTATGATCAGAGAGGGACTAGAAGGAACTAGATGGGGTGAGACTTTTATCTGGAGTGGAACAGGCTGAAGCAGTTTAGGTGTTACAGGATGAATGGAAGTCCAGACAGAGTTCCAGCAGAGTTGCGGTACTCCTGGCCTGGTTGGCACGGACTGTAACACAGCATGGGGATAGAAGTCATATAGTGCCAGTGTTTTTTTGCCCTTTTATTGGATTATCTCTCTTATATCTTGATCAAGCTATGTCATGTTATACACCCACAGAAAGCCCTCACCTACCTCTTGAAGATGGTGCTACTTATCAGTCTCCATGTGCATTGAAAGGGGCACAGTTGTTGGCATTCCTTCAAACAATGACAGTATTTCTCAATTTATGACCTCTAAAGCTTGTTTGATCCCCACACACTTTGATGCATCTCATTGAAATTGAAAACATGCACACATTGCAATTTGTTTGAAGCCATTTGGTCAAGAACTGGATGAGCTATGGTCCCACAGATTACTGCTGGACCAACTGCCATACTGAAGTGGTGACAGTATTTCGCAATTTATTGGCCCTCAAGGTCATTAATTCCCACGTTTTTGGGTGCGTCCTATTGATGCTGAAAATGCGCACAAATCACAAATTGTTTGAGCTCATTTGGTCAAGAACTGAGTGGGGAATGGGGCAAACAAGGTGGCCACCACCCCAGTGTTGAGTTGATGTTCCTTCAAATCACAACAGTATTTCGCACTTTAGCACCCCTTATAATTGCTCAATTCCGACGCATTTTGGACTGTTCATGGCTGCTTAAAATGTGCAAAAATGGCGATTCGTTTGAAGTTATTTGGTGAAGAACTGAGTGTGCTATGGACCAAACAAAATGGACACCACCCCACTGTTGGTTGGCAGTGCTTCAAATCTCATCAGTGTTTCGCATTTTATGACCTCTTAAAAGGGCTCAATTGCCACACAGTTTAATACATCCTGTTGGTGCTTAAAATGTGCAAAAATCGCGATTTGTTTGAAGTCATTTGACCAAGAACTGAGGCAGCTGTGGGCCAAACAAAGTGGGCCATCAGGGCACTGTTAAGGCCAGCTGCCATTTCCGGAAGGGGCAAAATGGCAAAAAAGCGCCCATGTGGCCGGGTATATGCCCACCAGATATGGTATAAGGACATAAGAGGGTAAGGAGGTCAAGAGCCAGATGGACTAGTGGTTAAGACAGCTGATTGTATTGGCTGAAGCAGCTGAGGTCCCGGGTTCAACTCCCTGTCAGGGCAAAATTGAAAAAAAGCGCTGGCAGGCCACCACAGGCCCTCCCGGCATTAGTGGTGGGACCAAATAACCATCAATAAAATGGCACAATGTGATAAATCAGCGTATCGTGCCATTTTATTATGCTTTGTTTATGTTTTCAGCCACTTTCACACTTTTATTGGATTATCTCTCTCAGTCCCTTACCAAAGGGGGTCGTGTAATATACCGTTTGAAAGCTATTGCTTCCCTCTATCCAACTGTACTGTTTTCACGACGATGCGCGGTTTTACTAAGCGTCTATCTCCATATTGGTGTCAGAAGCAGTGTTTTGCACTTTACTACCCCTTAATGTTGACCGATTCTCGCGCGTCTTGGTGCGTTCTGTGCGTATTTGCAATGCGCACAAATCGCAATTTGTTTGGGGCAATTTGGATAGGAATTGAGCGAGATATGAGCACATCACTTCAGGCTCAGCCACCTGAGCACTCTTACTGGATTATCTCTGTTGTTTGTGCATCAAACTGGGTCGTGTAAAGTACTGTTGGAAAGCTCCTGTTGCGCTCTATCCAATGCATCCGTTCTGACGACCATAGTTACAAAACTGGATGACCTACATGCTCAACAACACCTTGATTATCAGATAAACTGCAATAACATGTCAATTATTACTGGGAGATAAACCGCACCCTCATCGATGGATTCAGCTTCAAAATAGCTTTCTAATGAGGTATCATGCATATGATTTGGATAAGAACTGGTGAAGTTACGAGGGAAAGAAGTCTGAGCCACCTGGGACTTGTGACCAGTAAATCCTGTTTCTTGACCGGGTTTGCTTACTGATCTATCAATATTAATGCTTCATTAGAAGCCCATTGTTAATACCTTTGTTACAGATTGACTTTGATCCTGATTGACCCATTAACAAACCCAGTAACCCAGAATTACTGAAGTTTAAGGACCAGTATAGTCACATAATAAAGTGATCTAAGTGGGACATGTGCAGCGCTTCAGAGGCGAAAATAAGCGCCCAAAGGACGGCTTTGTATGTGGTAAGTAATGGTAAGCAATGGGTAAGTAATGGTTGAAAGGCTAACCCTAGAAATTGTAGTGAAAATTGCCCCTAACCCCAGGCTGGGTGTTGGTGGGTAAGAAAGATTGTATGTGGCGCTTATTTTGAGACTTACTTGGATAAGCTGGGATTGAAAATATATTCCCACGGGGATCGATTGGCGTAACGCGGCCTGGCGTGGAGGTCGTCCCATAAGAAACGATTTCTTCGTTCCTCATCAATCGTAATCTGCTTGTATCTCCTGCCCTAATCAATCTTCTTCTCCATCACCCTCCACCAAACTTCCATCCGGACTCCAACCTTTGACCCCTGTCTGACCTCAACCTGCCTTTGACCTTCTTCCGTTGACCCCTTCCCTTTGACTCTTCTCCATTCTGGAGTTCCACCAACTCCATCCAAAATCCAAAGACCCAGCAGATTGCTCAGGGTGTTGCTAATAGCTTTGCCAAGTCTTCACTCTCTGGTGCACCCCGGAATCCTTACCCATTCCTCTGGACTTCCTCCCTGGAGTTCCGCTTCTCCGCTTTTCCGCTTTCTGAACCTGCATGCACAATCCTAACACACAGCCACTGTTGATCACCAAACTGTGTATGACCAGTACACTGGAAGTTGAACATGAGCAGGGCATAGTTACACAAATACATAGCTATAACTCATTATATTTTGAAGTAAGTATAACTTTGTGCAATTGGCTAATGGGGCATTTACCACATTTGTAAATTGTAACTTCTAGTATTTAATCCCTCCAGGATCTTTGGTATTTTTGTACAAAACTACAATGATCCTCCAATTCTTGTGCAATCCACATTATGCAGAGTCAGCCCTAGAGCTAGTACACTTGACAGTACCAGTACTTCTACAATGAATTACTACCAACTTCGCATGTGCTGCGGTAAGAACCCCCGTGCCCATCCGTAACTGCCACACATGCACACACAACATTGCCCCCCCACTCCTTTCCGCCCCTCCTGTACATCAATCTCCGCATCCCACGTCTCGCCGCTCAACCTGCCCACACTCCAGACATACCATGGCGCCCGTCATTACCTTCTGCAACTCCCCCACCGGCCTCGCCCATGCAACGACCTACCTCTCCTCGCACCCCCTCCTCATCCTCGACTGCGAAGCACGAGACCTCGGCATGCCCGGCGGCGCGCTCTCCATCCTCTCGCTCTCCGACGCCACCGCCTCACAAGTCTTCCTCATCGATGTGCTGGCCTTCCCCGCGATCCCCTCCGCCTCAGGCCCATCACCGCCCGCCGTCCTCCGCCCGCTTCTCGCGCTCCTCTCGAACCAATCCATCACGAAGATCGTCTGGGACGGACGCTGTGACGCGCTCGAGCTGCGGCTCACGTACGGGATCGAGCTCGAGGGCGTGCTCGACCTGCAGCTCGTCGAAGTCAGAGCACGACAGCACGCCGCACGGAACCGCGGTGACACGGGCCCGGGACCCGACCTCGTGAAGGGCTTCTTCAAGCCGCTGAAAACCGAGATGGCGGAAAACCCGGCCGAGTATGAGGGAATCTATAAGCTACGCGGGCTAGACCACGTCGTAGGGCTGTTCAGACTAGGAGGGAAGGAGGGTCCTGTGCTTAAAGACCGTGAGCATCACCATCATCGTAAATCGGACCCGCACTCGGACGGCTCACCTCAAATGCCATATGGCCCCTGTAGCGGAAGTTGTCGCGATCCACCAAGAAAACGGGTCCGAGCTCTGGATGACGCACCCCCTCCCCGAGAAGCTACTTACGTATGCAGCACACGACCTCGAGATGATCAGCCTCGTGTACGGGCACTTCATGCGCAAAGCCTGGATTAGGAACGAGATGGTACAGCTCAAAACGTGGTCGGCGCGTTACGTCGGAATGTTTCACACGCGAGAGCACGCCGAGCAGTTCGGCTTGCGAGACTTGAAGCGGTTCATGCCCTTCGGATTCATCGAAGAAGGGAAGGGGGCGCCCCGATACCTGTGCGCGAGCTGCGAACAACAGCTCACAGCGGACTGTTTCACCAAAAAAGCGACGCCGGGTGGCAAAGGGAAACGCGGCAAGGTGCAGAGGTTGTCGTACTGTCGATTGTGCAACGCGATTGCTCGAAGGAACGAGTCGACGCAGGGCGAGTGGGTTGATTTCTAGTTTGTCGATACTATCTCGTCGATCAGTATATCAAAACCGTCAATGTTACTCACCGTGCGAATCGTCATCTTGACCGAGCCCTGTCAAACTGTCTATGCCCGGTTCCAATGTCCACCGCAAACGTTGTAAACGCAAACACGATGTAAGCGGACCATCGGCGATGCATTTAACGTCGTAAACCTATGTTGAGCGCAAAGCAAGTGACCTGACACCCAGCAACCACAAGCAACGGTGGATGTGACATCCCGGCTTGGTATCGCGGCCACGACGCGCTTGAATTGCAAGTGGTGACCTTGAGCCCGCCTGCGGGCTGTCAGGGCCAGCCCGTACCTCGCGGTGTGACTACACGCAAACCAGGAATTCTCACCCGTGCCATCAGACAGGCTACTCCACACCCGCCCCGCCGGACGGACGCACCCGCCTAACCACCGCAGACACAACAGCACCGTGCCCACGACCAGGGGTAGAGCACGGTGGCATGCCTCCGTACCAAATGCGTGCGGCCTGCAGATGATAGTCGTCGTGTTGCGAGCAGCGCGAGGTCAGCGTACGTCGTAGGCGGATGTAGAGTCGATATATGCGCATGTATGCGTGTCCAATGAGGGAGATCATGCCACGACGGACGAAGCAGAGCACGAAGTGGGTGACGCACCGTGATCGAGGCACCCCTGTAGTTCGCCAGCAATGTCATAGCCGGCTAGAAACTCGTCTTCGCGCGTGGTAGGTGGTATTTGCGCCCCGGCGACGCGCCCAACAAGGTACCCACCACAGTTGAATTTGCTCTCCAATTGCGCCCCGCCTGCTGGACGCTTGACGGGAGAGAGCTCCAGTACCGGCCGGTACAACGCTGAGCAGGACCGAAGGCAGCCGTCGAAAAGCGCGACTGGAGGTGAAGAACACCGCCAACGCTCACCGGAAAGTGCTTGAACCTTCACAGTCGGTGTGTAGCGGAAACAAGTCCGCGACGTATGGACCGTCGAAAATCGATGGGCGAAAGGGCATGCCCGTCCGACGAAGGCGCGCAACCGTCGGACGTAAGAATTGCTCGGAGGACCCGACCGACGCACTCGTTGGCGCCGTTCAAATGAGCACCTTGGGGCGGTTCGCTGGTGGGGAGTTCCTATGCTTCTGGCGAGCCAATCCGCGGTCGATACGTTACCAAAATAGGTCTGTCCGAATGCGATAAGTCAGCAATCGAACCTGCAGGTGCCACACCACAGTAGACAACTCACCCGACAATTGGGGGTACACGCCCCAGCGGGAGCGAACCCCGGCAGTGTCCTCGATGTGACCGCGAGCCGGCGAAAACCACGCCGAATGCCGTCCAATGTGGAGAACCAAAAACCCAAAGCGATGCTCCTACCTCGGCAGTTCCCCCTCCAGTCCCAGAGCGCGCGCCAAGGAGTTCCAGAGAGCAAAGATTCACCGCGGACCGTTCCCGCGGGTGGATTACTACGACGTCCTACGCTAAACAATAATTTTGTGCGCTCCGCACCCGCCCTGTCCCTGAATAACCTAGTGATGCGTGGGCTTCTTCCCTAGCACCCCCGGGGGACACACACGCAGCAAACCGTCAGACACGTGCGCACAAAACCATCACACACCACAAAGAGCAGGGAAAGCAGGACGTACCGTCTACGAACATATTCCGCGTCGCGGCCGGGAGGGTGGCGGTCATACCGTCGAGCTCCTTCGTGAGGCGGACCTGACACCCCAGGCGGGAGGTGTCCGTAAGCCCGAACGCCATGTCGAGCATATCGTTTTCGTCATCCTAGTGCGCGCGGCGGCGAGACCAATCTTGCCATGAGTCGGGCGGGCG